ACAGTTTATCTAACCTATGCTCCTTCTCACCTCCAGTGCATCAAGGGGCTGTGAATTTTTACACTCAGGGGTTAACTGCTTATTAACTTTCATTCTGCTCTGCCCTGCAGCTGTCTTACATTCCAAGACATTTTACATTTAAAGTTCAATGCTGTATTTTGAAAATGGACCACTGGACTCTCTATTTCTCATTCTCTCTACTTTTTTCCTCCTGTTTATTTTATTTTGATACTGGGGATTGAATCCAAGGGGTGCTTACCCACTAAGCCACATCCCTAGCCCTTTCCTGTATTTTTTTTTAGCCCTTTTTTGTATTTTTGAGTATATTTCAGAAAAAGTTTTATTGAACATTGACTTCATTCAAATTTATCAAGACTGGGGGAGTATTATCTTATGGCTATTTTCATTTCATTAGTGATTATTAACATTCTTAATTCCATGATTTTTTTATACCTTTATTTTTATGTGGCACTGAGAATGGAATCCAGTGCCTCACGCATGCCAGGTGAGAACTCTACCACTGAGCCCCAGCCCTTAATTCTATGCTTTTAACTTTTCATAGTTAGCTTTTTTTCTAAAATAGTTCTTTGATCGATTTGTCGACTCTTTTTCCTAATTTGAGTTTTGTCTTTGTTATACCAGGGTTTGTCAGATTAGCTTTTTTAATTTATTGAATTAGAAGTATAGCTAACTTTTTTCTCATTTTATAGTGATGATTTATAATCCTTCAAAAATTTTTTTCTGAATAAAAAGTATACCTGTAAAGTTTTAAATACAGAAATGTGTTACCAGAAAGGAAAAATTCCCATAAAGCCATCATCAGAAATAACCACTGCTTATAGTTTAGGGCATGTTCTTCCTGGTGCTTTTCTATGCATATATGATTTCTCTCTAGGTGTAACGTTTGTATATATGCAATGTTTAATTTATATCTGAATATAAACACACAATGGATCATAAATATATTTACTTTCATGAGTACATGCATATTTATCTGTATATCGTCACCTGCAGAGGCTTGAAATTGAATTGAAGTCTCTAGAGAGAGCAGAGGAGGATTCTCAGGTGGGTCTCCAGTGACCCCAGAGTAGGCAAAGAATCCTGAGGATGGAGTCTTGCCCTCTGCTGCATCACAGATGTGGACACAGATATGGCCCTGTGTGGACACACACCTCCATGTTGCAACTACAGTGGCCTTATCTTTTCATTTAGTTCATGTGTATCAACCTCATTTTTTAAAAAGTAGGTCATAGATTTCCATTTGCATGGATGTGTCTTGATTAGATAGCCATTGACTTGTTGATGAATAAATTGTTTTAATTTTTTCTGCTATTTACAAACAGGATACCGAATGTTCTGCACAGAATACCTTTGTACACATGCCACTATTCTAATCATTTTATTTATTTTGGTGTCTGGGATTGAACCCAGCGGCATTAACCACCGAGCCACATCCTCTGCCCATTTTATTTTTTGAGACAGGACCTCAGTAAGTTGCCCAGGGTCTTGCAAAGTTGCTGAGGCTGGCCTTGAATTTGTTATCCTCTTACCTCCAAGTCTCCTGAGTTGCTGGGATTACAGGTGTGCACTACTGTGCCTGGCTATTCTAATCATTTTAACATGAGCTCTTATGTTCCAGACATATAAAATGGCCACAGGATTAGTCACTGGGATTATAGGCATTTGTCCAGTTTCTATTTTTTAATTTAAATACTACTTGATATAAATTATTATGAATTCCCTCCCCCAATCTTCCTATTTCCCCTGCCTGTGGTAAAACGCATTTTCTATGTACTTGATTTCTTTTCGAGATACCACACATAAGTGAGGTTGTGCAGTATTTGTCTTTTTGTGCCTGGTTTATTTCACTTAACATAATGTCCTTCTAATTTGCTTCCGTCCTGTTGCAAATGGCAGGAGATTCTTCATGAAGTCTGAATAATACTCATGGTATCTTTCTACCAGAATTTCTTTATCCACTCAGCTGTTAATGGACACTTCAACAATGTTTTGGCTATTATGAATAATGCTGCTGGGAATATGGGAGTAGAAATTTGGGTATATGCCTAGCAGAGGGATTTCTGTAACAGATGACAGTTTTCTATTTTTAATATCTTTGGGAACCTCTGTATTGTCTTTCAGGCTGGATGTACCAATCTACATTCCCAAAAAGAAGGGTTTCCTTTCTCTGTCCTCACCAATACTACTTGTATTTGATTGATATTAGCCATCCTAATAGTGGTGAAACATCCCTGTGGCTTTGTTTTGCATTTCCCTGATGATCAGTGAGCACCCTTGTATACACCTCTTGGAAAATGTCTATTTAAGTCTATATATAAACACATTCACATACCACCATCCCCACTCCTCTTCCTTATCACCAGAAAGATAGTAAGCTTTTAAGCCTTTTTCAATCTGGTAGACAATAAATTATATCTTGTCTCTATTTGCATTTGTTCATTACTAGTAAGGTTGAACATCTTTCACTTAATATCCATATATATTTTTTAAAAAACTTGCTTGTGTGATTTGCTATTTTTCTATAGACTGGACATTTTGGTGTACTAGATATTTGTCTGCCCTTTGATTTTATTATCAAAATATTTTGACATACAAATATTTCAATTTACCAATTTTCTCTTATGGTGTGTTTTGTGTCATGCTTAAATGGTCTTTGTTGCTCATTCTTCCAAAGTTTCTGAAAATATTTATAAAACACTGAAAGCTCAACAACTTTCAATGTTTCATCCAAAACATTAAGTTCTTTGATATAGTCACAACTAATTTATGCATAGGCCTGAGGTAAGGATCTAACTTTCAAAACAATGCTTAGTTGGTTGTTCTCGGGCCATTAATCATCCTTTCTTGGGGGCCACCTCTTAGGTGACTTAATATGCCTGATACAGTGAAACCAGATTTCCATAGATTCTTGGATGTCTTGTCTTGTCATTGCTTTATTGATCTATTCTGGCACCAACACTATACTGCTAATGATTGCAATTTTATGTTTAATGCCTCTTAGGCTAATAATCTCCCAGGCTTCCCCACACCCATGGGTTTAAGTTTTCTTGATTTGTCTTACATATTTTTCCTTTCATGTTAATTTCAGAATCTCTTCCCCACCCCCCAATTTACTCCAAAATCTGACAGGATTTTGTTAAAATTATAGAAAATTGAGTTATATTTTTACAAGACTCCCTCTAAGAACTAAAGATTTATGTACTTATAATTTTCATGTTTCTTACATATTCCTTGGTATGTTTATTCCTGAATATTTTGTTCATGTTAATTGTGTTCTACAAATTAAATGTTATTTCCATTCCATTCCATTAAACATATTGAGGATTGAACCCTGGGGCGCTCTACCACTGAGTTACATCCCCAGCCCTTTTTATTTTGAGATAGGGTCTACCAATTGCCCAGGCTGGCCTTTAAAGATCAAACCTTCTGCCTTAGCTTCCCAAGTAGCTGAGAATACAGGCATGCACACCATGCCTGGTGCCCCATTTTTATAATCAGATATTAAGTTCTTGCTTTCAAATAATAGAAACTGACTTTGGTTAGGCAGAATTTATTGAATATCAAATAATAACTCAATATAGAGTTGTCAGAGTCTTTTTTTATGAAGCATAGCCCTATATCCTTCTGGGGAAGCCAAAAAGATTAGGCAGTTCCTCACTGGTGCTGGCTGAAAAAACAGTTGTATGACCTGAACTCAACCCATCATGGTCTTATACTTTAGAATTCATTCTGGTTGTGGTAAAAATCTTGGCATCCAATATTACAAGTGGCAACAATGACACTATAGCAGGTAGTAGGGCAGAATATAGATACATGCCCTATCGTGGCAGGATTTGGTCACGTTTCAGACTTGCCTGGCATTTCTTGGTTTGTATTCTTTTACTTCTAGCAGCATACACAAAACACAAACTCCTCTTTGGGGAAAGCTAAATTTGGAAAATAAAATCAGAGGCCAGTATCTATCATTTGCTATGTCAATTCCAAATGAGGTTAATATCGTGGGCTCTGTTTGCCTAAGTAGAATTATTTACTGTTTGGAAGCAGCAGGCCTACTACATACAACATTTGGGTTCTCAAACTGGGTATCTTAAGGGATTCTAGTAACACAAGGCGACTTGTCAGAGATGTGTATGTGACTTAGGGCAATAGTTACTGATACTTGTCACAATATAGATTCATCTGTAAAGAGAGGTTGGACTAGACCAGCTAGTTTCTAGGTCTTTGAAAATTGCAGTCTTTTCACTCTAAAGAGACTTGCTTTTTCTTAATTACTTCCCTTAAAATTTAGCTGACAACTATCAAGTGCTTGGCTATTTGCCACTGTTGAACAGAGTCCTGGAGAAATTGCAGTATGCTCTCATACTCAGTTGAGCAGAGATTTATTCTTACTGTGGAAATATGGACACAAATAGCAAGTTATACTTATTATGTGATGCATTATGAATGCAGGCAAGATGCACTAGTAATCTTTTCAGAGACTCAGATTACATCTTCTGAAATACTTTGTTTCATCCTGTTGGAATGAAGTGGGGAGCTAGGCATAGCGGCATACACGTATAATACCAGTGACTTGAGAGGATCTCAACTTTGAGGCCAGCCTCAGCAAATTGGTGAGATCCTGCCTCAAAATAAGCACCCCTGGGTCAAATCCCCAGTGCCTTCGACCCTATCAAAAAATCTGAAGGGGGAAATTGAACATTTTGGTAGTGAAGGTATAGCATGAAGTAACGTCAGAAGTTAACTTGAATTGGTATGAGAGGAAGTAGAAGAGCAGGCAGATGTCTTGTCTTCCACACACAGTGATATTTTCTCTAGGATGCCTGACAGGTGGGTGCAAAGAGACGTCTAAGCTGGCCAGTGCATATTTAATACTAGTCATACAAAAATGCCCACACCAGCTTGGCATCAGAGATGCATGACTTATTTTACCTATGATATTGTAAAGTTAGGGATAATGAGCTTTCTCTTGTGACTTGTAGGTTCTTATGAGTGCATCATTCTTGGGAGCCCTGTGTCTCTTCTCATCTGTCTGTGTTGTATGTGCCATTTCTGCATTCACTCTTCCCATTGAGACCAAGGGACGAGCCCTGCAGGTAAGTGATACTGGTCTTCTCATTTGCCATGTTTTGAACTTGGTATGTGGGTCTCCTTCTTTGAAGTAGGTATGGCTTATTGTAAAACAATATTTAGGCCAGGTGTAGAGGCATATGCCTGTAATCCCCTCTACTGACTTAGGAGGCTGAGGCAGAAGGATCCTAAGTTTAATGCCAGCCTCAGCAATTCAGCAAAGCCCTGTCTCAAATAATAAAAGGGCTGGGGATGTACCTCAGTGGTATAGCACATATGGTTTCAATCCTCAGCACCAACACACAAAAAGTTTAGAATCCAGTAGAAAAACTGAGTCTTTAGTCTTTCTCACATACAGTTTTGAGCAGCACTGAAGTCCAAGTAACAAATAATTCACTTAAAACCTTTTTCTCTAAAAGCTGTAGTTTGATTATCAGAGACCAAGATGAGTGACAGTTGTTGAGGCTGGAACATTCTACCTTTCCCACTTTTCTGTGTGGATTGAAGCATTGCTGCAGAACTAAAGGTGGCCAGAGGAGCTGGCTCCCCAGGATTACATGCTCCTTACACATTGGTCCAGCCTCCTTCTCCCTTGTACCTGAGGTTAGAGTGAAGCCAAAAGCTTTAGTGCAGCACTAGTTGCCATCACTACCAACAACCAGCAGACACTGCTCAAATGAAAAAGGGATGCCCTAAAGTACAAGGCAGGCTGCAGGAGAGATGGTCTTCCTAGCCTTCATGCTGATCTCAAAAGTCCACGTGGTAGTTCTTATGTTTTCTTGCCTTAAAGCTTGTTGCTCCTATTGCTGGTATGCAAGGTTATGTGTGTGTGGGGGAGGGGGAGAATAGTTGGGGTTACTGGTTACAATGAGCTGCTGCCTCTGAGACTGTAGCATGAGGCTCATGCTGCTGAATGTGATTTGCTCCCTCTCTCCTGTCGTATTCAAAATATTCTGAAGAGGGAAAAAGAGTTAAGCTGTAGAAAAGGTTTATATTCTTGGTGCAAAAAAAGTGCTTTTGTCTGAGTAGAGCCAAGAAAGGCACCATTGAATACAGAAACACAGGCTTATACCAGTCTTGAAGTCTTCCCCCTAGCTCAAGGTAATATGCCTTTTAATCACTGATTAGGTGACCTATCATATATAATCATGAACTTAGGGTTTAGGTTCCTTCCTTGGAATGATGACCCATCACTGAATGCCCCAGACTGAATTAGATGACTCATATGCCTCCTTTTAATGGTAAATAAAAAGATTATCACATCCTTTACATAATGAGTAAACAAGGAAGTTGAGTAACGTGTGTAAAGGAACACACTAGTATTTAACTGAGGCTAGAAAGTACAGGTGCTAATCTTGTGCTATTTTTCCATTCCTTTCCAATTTTTCATGTAGTGTTTTATATAAATATGAAACCTAGTTTACCATTTATTTTGCCTAATGGATTTTCAGTTCAAGTCATATCCATCTACAAAACACTAGTTCATTTTCTGTTGACTTGGACTTGTTTTTAGTACTGTGGTGAAATAATTTTGCATCTGTTTACAACTTTTTAATATTATTTTCTTAGAATTTTAATATGGCAATTCAATTCATGTTTGAGCACAAAGCCCTACCTGTGGGCAAATCCTGTGTGCACACATACCCACATCCCTCAGTGTTCTGAGCATTTACCATATAAAGTTTCTAGAAATGTTTACAAGAATATGCCAAAATTTTTAACTTCCTTTCAACACATACAGGTAGCATCCCAGGAATTGACCAGATAAGCCAAACTAACTAGTTTAAAAGAACTAGTTAGTTTGGCTTATCCTAAGAAACCCACTTAACCCCCCCCCCCCAAACAAAAAACAACAACAAAAAAGACACTTCCCGCCCTCCCCCCCCCCCACACACACAATGAGTGCAGTGGTGCATGCCTGTAATCCCAGCTACAAGGCAAGATAGGAGGATTGCAAGTTTGGGATCAACCTGAACAACTAAGCAAAACTTGGTCTCAGAAAGAAAAGACGGGCTTGGGGTATAGCTCCATTAGAGTACCTTGGATATATTCCCCAGTGATACCCAAAGAACCCAGTAAACAAAACAACACAATTTTTCTAAGTAATGTCTATATTTTACTAAAATAATTATAAAGCTAGTATTGCATTTCCAGGTACACAAAGGTAAATCCTGGATCTTAGTTCCTTAGAAATTGTATTAAAGAGATTTCTATTATTAGTTTCCAGTGTTAGTTGAGTATTATTAGAATGCCTGTTAAAGTGTATTATTGATCTATTAAATCTTTTTTTTCCCCCAGCAAATTAAATGAGACCTGCAAATCTACATCTACCAGAGGAGCACAGTGTATTTTATCTTCACAGATCTGTGGCACATTTCTTAAAAACTTGGTTTAATTTCTGTATGCTAGTCAATAATGAACTGATTATGTATCTAAGAACATAAGGCACCCATGGGAATACAGCTGGCAACTGTATACTCATCTCCTCCTTGGGAGACAATATATAAAACTTTTACAAAATATACCTAAGATTGGAAAGTATATGAATGGGAGAGGTTAAAGATGTCTTTTCTTCCCTGATATCAAGAATACAAAATCTTAGAACACATACTTGGTATTTTCCCATACAGGTTATAGCTAAAGTTGGACAAAATCTTGTACTTAGGACAAGAACTGGGCTGATATCATTAAATCTTTCAAAACCACTAGAATAGTCATTAAGTTCAAATTAATATTAGCATCAATTATGGCCTTCCTAGTCTATTCACAAATTATGCTTAAATTAGTGGCTTGTATACAATTACATGCCATCCCTATTTCTACTCATTTATTTTAATGGGGAGAATCTTTGATTCTCATAATGATAATAAAAATGAAAGTATATAGCCAGTTTTCTGACATATAATCAATCACTCACCTGCTTGTGGAGAGACTGATACACACGAGACATCATAGTTTTGAAGCCAGAATTAAAAACAGGTAGTCAGTATAGATACATAAATTGGGCCAAGTTGAGAAAAACAGCAAACCGGTTTGGGTCCAAAAGGTTGAAGACTCCGCTGTGGGAGATTGAAATGTTAAGTGTCCCGAATACCTGCCCAATACTGCCTTCCTAAAGAATTGTTAACAAAGCAACCCCTGAGCAGAAGGGAGCTGCTAATTAATTCACCTGGGCCCCCCTTCCTGCCCAGATCACTTCTCCCTGGCCCCTTCAGCCCACCTGTTTCCCACCTCTTGGCTTTCCTACCTGCATCTCCCAGTCATATACAGGATGAAGGGAAGTGAACAAGATAAGGGAGAAGAACATAAAAGAACAAAGAAACTTTATGTATAAAAGGGATGGGTCTTCCACATCCCATGGATTCTAGTTTTTGGGTCCCCTTCTTCCTCAGGGAAGAAGTCTGTTCTATCCTTTAAATAAAGCTGCTTGCTTTCTACTTTAACTCCATCACAAGTCTAAAATATTCTTAGCTTTCAGATTGTGGAAAAACGAAAGCAGGGTATACGCTGAATTTGGCCAACAGGCAACCACTCATTTTAAGGTCTAGCTATTATAGAATTTTAGGTGAAATATATTTGTTGCAAACATGTCTTGGCTATACTTGTAGAGTTAAAAATTTAACTGAAAATCCCCAAGCTGAAGTTAGCAGCAATTTAAAACTAAAAGCAAAGGATGGCAGTGATCGAAAACCAGTCAAACAATGACGAAGCTTATGCTCAAGTGTCTTCCTAAGGATTTCAGAACTCTCAGTATCTCTGAGGCTCTTTAGGCTTAAGGAAATTGTTATTAGCTCTATCTAAGCCCCAGGCTCCTAAGACAGAACCAAATTAGCCTATATAGAAAATTCTATTCACATAATTTTAATTGAATACCTAATTTAACAAATCCTTAAATCTTGTAAATTGCTTAGTATTAGTTGTCATTAGAAATGGAAGTCAACAAATTTCAAGTCACTAACTTTACTTGTAAGGACTTTGATCATTTTGCTTTATATAAATAGAAACCAAATATGAATCTGTTTTGGGGCTGGGGATGTGGTTCAAGCAGTAGTGCGCTCGCCTGGCATGCGCGGGGCGCTGGGTTCCATCCTCAGCACCACATAAAAATAAAGATGTTGTGTCCACCAAAAACTAAAAAATAAATATAAAAAAATATGAATCTGTTTTATATAGAGAACCTGACTTCCTTTAAACTCTTTAAAGCATACTCTTTAATGGCAAAAACTCCTGTAATATGAATGCCAAATTCTTTATTTTGGACCTTTTGTATGTTGGGCTTTTAAAACATACTGTCATTAGTTAATGCCTAAAAAGATCAAATTAAGATAACCAGCATCACTGTCAAAGTCTGTTACCTGGAACACACTCATTTTCTTTGAGGAAAGAAACTTTTCAGGTCAGTATATTCTCATTCCAAGGGTAAGAAGTGTGCTCTGCTGGTTGATCTGTTTATTCTGACCTTCCTCCCCAAACAATTGGGCTTTATCATTTGCAATAGAAGAACTCTAGACTGGATTTTCTACTTCAGTTGTCTTGGGTTAACAGTATGAGATTCGGGGGCAAGAAGTTCCTATTCCCCAGTTCCCTGACACAGAAGAATATGGTAAAACAGATTTCCTTCCATGCTGTATTTGAAAATGTGCTAAGATTGAATTGTGTTCATTTGTGACTGCCAAGAAAGAACTTTTGGACAAAAATTGGGATTTTTTTTTTTTAAATTAGGATTTAAAAAACTAATTTTAGGACTGGGGATATGCCTCATTGGTAGAATGCTTGTCTAGCATGCAAGAGGCCCTGGGTTGGATTCCCCAACATCACACCACAGAAATAGAAAAAAACCTTAGAATCAAATAGAAGGTTGTTCCCAAAGTAATGGTATGTCACTAGTTGGCCAGGTAAGTAGGTGGAGACCAATAAACATATATATCAAAGCCAATCTATAAGTCACAGGACTGGAAATACTAGGGAGCTTTATCATAGCAGACAAACATCTGAAAAATAGGAATTGATATGCCAAATATCCCCTAGCCATAGTTAATTGTAACTCCTTAAGGAAACATTATTTCAAAACCAAGTCATAGCTTTTTTCCCCTTTCCCTTCCAGGTATAATTCAGTGATACAGCCTTGCTGGATTGAACCCAGCAAGACTGTATCACTGAATTATACCCCCGGCCCTTTAAAAAATTATTTTGAGACAGGGTTTCTTTTAGTTACTGGTGCTGAACTCCAACTTGTGATCTAATCCTCCTGCCTTAGCTTTCAGAGTCACTGGGATTAAAGGTGTATGCCACTAGGCCCAGCCATGGATATCAAAAGGCAGGACAAGTTCAGATTCGGCCTTGGCAACTTAGTGAGACCCTGTGTCAAAAAATAAATGGGCTGAGGATGTAGTCCAGTGATGGAACACCCCTATATTCAATTCCTAACTGTTGTAACATTCACCGTAAAAAATCCATCTGTCAATTTTTTATAGTAAGATCAAAGCACCTGGTTCCCCCCTTTCCCCTCCAATAAAAACCAGAACCCAAATCCTAAGACTGCTTCCTCAAATGTCCTTCATAATAAGCAAAAACCTTTATGGAGAAGTCCGTGATAGCATTGGCTAATTCTCAGGAACATGAATTACCTACATGTGGATTATGACTCAGTAAATGCCCATCCAAGATGAAAGTACAATAAATGTTTGTAAAGCCATCAACTATTAATTTACATAGTAAAATATGTACATGGTTATTTGAGAGGAGGAGCTTGATAAGAAATCGTATGGTTGAACTCAAGGTCATGTCCATAATTTTACTGGCCAGATAATTTGATTTCTCTCATTCATAATATGGATAAACAGAAACTGAGTATATCTTCAATTAAACCAAAAAACCTTTCATTCACATGCAGCAACTTACTTTTGGGCTTCCCATCAATTTGGATGAGGTCTCAACAGCAGGAGTTTCCTCCTTTCAAATTATCTGATAAAGTTAGGTCAAATTTAGAAGTTTAAGCAGAGGACTTAGAAATGCAAATTCATAAACAGAGCAGTTGGCTATACTTACCCTTTTGATAGTGGAGCTAATTTTTTTGAAAACTTTTCTAAGCTATATGCTATTTTGTGTGGTAGTAAAACAGAGAGTCTATTCTTTAGCTTGGAAAACAAAATACTACCATGGGAAGAGGGCAGTTCCTTTTCTTCCAACATGTTCTACTTTTCTATGCCCTGTTCAGAAAAGCAGAGCTTGTTAATTAAAAGGACAAAAGGCTTGCACTGCCAGATGCTGATGGAAAGATATATTCTGCCTTTAATATGGTTTATCTCAGTCCTTTATATGCCTGTCACTGGTATGTAAGTAACAACTGTGTCCTTGGGTTTCCTTATAGCCAGAAAGATGAGAGCTTAGCACCTGGGAAAGCAACTGAGTTGGAACTCTTGAAGTCCCAGTTCCAACATGGTCTGTTCATTCATAACTGTGGATTAACCTGATCATATTCTGCAATGGGTGTTCTGCAGCTAGGCTACTGGGCTCTCAGTTTAAATCCAGAGGGAAGTGTCCCAGAGTTTTTGGTAATATGTACACACCGGAGTACATAAGTTTAACACTGAACATTTTCGGGGGAGGGAGTGCTCTCAGAATGAATGTGGGGTAGACTATTTTCTAGCTTCTATTCAAATAGAATTTAAGAACTATTTAGTTGGGATTCACCTTATTTAATATAGACACTTGTTAAATAAGGTCACAGGACTTAAGAGACCACTTCAAAATGGCTATTAGGAGAGAGAAACCAAGACATTTGCTTTTAATATAATTTATATTATTATGTATGATTACAGGAAAGATGGTTCTCATCTGCTTTTCATTCAGCAAAAGATGGTAACAGTGAAAAAGAAATACTGTTTTAAAAAGTTCATATGGCACTGAATATTATGACAGTCTGGGGTACATCAGTAGAAATTCTGGCTCAGATAAATTTAGGGAATTATATTTTTTCTCTCTTAAGCCCTACCTCTCTTAGTGATAATTCGTGAAACAATTTACCTGTATTGCTCTGTTTTAACTAAGGAGACATGTAAGACAAGTGTGGGAGAACAAACTACCAGAAGAGCAGTATTCTAAGATACCAATAATAAACGTGTTAGCAAAAAACTCTACAGTTGCTGGGCTAAAAATACTGGAGTAAAAACAGACAAAAAAGTCTATGTATTATCAAAATTTGTTCAGATACTCTTAGGAGAACAAATATCAAATGCATATTCAAAACAACACAATAACAAACATCACCATATAGCACATATTTGGAAAAAGTGATTAAAACTTTAACAATACATTATTGATATATTATGGATAAGACCTAAGTCTATATGTAGAAAATGGGAAACTATTGCTAATAGCTATTTTCTCCTTATATTTTGTCTTTTAGCAATACCTGAAAACTCAATGAATTATCCACAGAATATTTTCAAATTGTCCATTTCGGAAAGTAATGTCATGTGGATAAAACCAAATGCTCTATGCTTAATTCATGGGAGGCAATATAACCAGAGAATTCAAGTTTTTCTGTCCTCCTAAAAAAGTAACATTTCCTCCAGATGTTAATTGTAATGTCTTATTTATAAAGGTTTACTTTGGCAAACTAAAAATATTCATGTGTATTTAGTCAAATGCTGGATTAGATTCTTTGACAGTTTATCTGGCTCTAAAAAAACACTGAACATGTAATGAATAAATGGATGTTAAACTAGCTGGGCTGGCCTGTTAACAACATGCTTCTCCTCAGAAGATAGATCTTTTGTGTCTTGATCAGAATGAAAAAGAAATTCTTATTAAATCAGATCAAGGATAAAATTTGGGGCTCTGATTCTTAAAACAAACAAAAACAGTAAATAGATGCATAAAAATTTTTTTTTTCATTCTAATTTCCTCCAAATACCTGCTCTCAAATCCTACAACACATTTTCATTATAAAGACCCAAGAAAACCATAACAACTAGTTCCTTTCAGGGGAACTTATTTTTAGGGTCTGAGAAGACATATGTTGAAGAAACCTCAAATCAAACATGGTGTGCCCAGCCATATTTTATATTTCGGATAGTTCCACTAAAAGCCATATTGAAAACAATGAGGATTGTTATAAAAGGATATCTACACACTTAAAAAAACAAACCAACCACATAGACACACAGCGAAACCAAACATGTGCACACTTACTTCCTTTAGGGGAGGAGAAAGCTAAAGAAAACCTAGATCTAGAAATATAAATGGTCTTGAATACCTGCTATACCAAACACCTCTACAGGCAAGATAAAGATAAAAACAAAAACCAAACATTTGTTTTCCTGTTTTTTCTTTAATACAGTTGCCATCTTACAAGATATACCATTAGGTGCCTTTGTAATAGCATCTAATCTACCCTTTCATTGCACCAGTTGGCATCCTGGGAAAGAACTCCTTACCACTCATGTTTGGGGAGCATTGCTGTTAAGTACAATAAACCTAGCTCTTATGGTTGGGCCATAATCAATGAGTAGTGGGCATTAATTTCTAAAAACAGATTAACGCACACATTCAAACCACATTAAAATTTTAACAGAGTTCATACAAAGTCGATTTCCCTTCTATAGTAGCTATTGCTCCAGATTGTGGTTTTAAAATCCAAGGAGAAGAATGTCCCTTTATTTTATTGTTGATGCTTCTTACTTTCTTCCTTTTCTTCCACCATACTTTCTATCTCCCCTCCTTTCTTTCATTTTCTTTTTCCCATTCATTTCCTTCTTTTCTTTTTCCTTCTTTTTTAATAAGAGGTTAAAAGAAATGGGTTATTAAGGAAATCAAAGTCTAGTAAAACGTCTAAAACAGATCAGAGAGCTCACAAACTCTTCTTTGTATCGATGTTAAATTACTGAAAAAAAATTTTTTTTTTTTGAAAACAAACAAAAAATCTAAAAACAAGCATATGCCAATGGTGCTGTTTATTTAAGCAATTGGCGTTCCTCGATGCTTTTGAGGCGTTTCTTCCGGGGCTGTACAAAGTCATCATCTGAATCATCACTAAATTTATTATCTTCTGATTCATTCCTGAATTCTAGCTTAGGAAACCTTTTTTCTGGATAAAGGTTCTTTAGAAGTTCTTCAAAATAGCTTTCAAGTTTTATGCCAGCATTGGCTACTTCTGAGTCAGGCTGTTGGATAAAAATAAAAATATGAATTAAAAAATAAGACCTACTTTTTAGACAGTCATAAATGTAATCTCTTACATTACATTTTCTGTTCACCTTTGACTCTTGAGATTATGAATATAAATTAACTGTTTTGGAAAATTTTATGTACAGCCATTAACAAAATACGTAGGAGTTGGGGGGCTAGAAAAAGTCTGGATGTTGGCTAAAAACTAAATAAAAGACTGACTTATCTGAATTGTCCAAAATGGAGGTAGTAATGGTAGGACTGGATTACTGAGGACAGATCAGTGAGATGCCATAAGCATAGGATCACAAAACAGGTATTTTTAGAACAAGTTAAAAAGAAATGTGGTACTACAGAATGAGTAACAAAAGGTCACAGGTTTCAAATGAACCGAGACCAGAAAAATTTAAACAAGAACTTTTTGGACATATCCTTAATATTTCAAGATAAACATGAAAAAGATTAAAGTCTAGAAGTATAATATTCCAAGAAAAAAAGATGGGATGACAAAGAATACTTTTCATTTTGAAGAATATTTTAAAATTGTCCTGAAGTTATCAGCTCTAATTTGCATCTGTACTCACCATGCAATAAACCTTTGAATATAAATTTGGACAATCTTTCTAACATATCTTAACAGACCTGCAACTTCAAAATTTATTCCAGTGCACACATTTTGGTCTCTGTATACATTTAGAAGGGGTCTGGGCTAAGATGACTTCCATACATTGCTGTTTCCTCTCCCCACCTCACCTCATTGAATTCAGCACAGTTTTGAAAGATCAGTCTAAAATCAGCTACAAAATCTTCAGGTTTTGTGTACATGAAATAATCTTCTTGTAGTCTTTTCTTGATAGTTGACAAGTCCATTGGATTTTTAATTATTTTGTAATAATCAGGCACCTTCAAAATAAATGAGATGTTATAATAACTGACTTCTACCTGGTCCTAAATACACTGTATAAGAAGGGATATAAAATTGAGATTGTTTTCATTGCTCTTCTCTATACCATTTTTGTCACTGGTAAGAAAACCTACACAGTAACACACTACTGCATTCTACACATTAGGAAATGTTCTGTCACTTTTTCCAAAAAAAATTTAAATTGGTTAAATTTTCCAAAAAATTTAATCAATATTTTTATGAAAAATTATTTTCACATATTCCCTCTTGAACCTTCTCTTCTCTATTCTCTTTCTTATTAAGCAAATAACAATTACTAGAGAATTACTAGTTGAATGGCATGATTTTACTGCATACCATTATAGCAAGTGGTAAAGAAGGGTTTAATCCCCAGCTTGTGGCTTAGTGGTATGATCCTGCATAAGTTACTTGACCTCAAAGAAACCTCAATTCTTCATATTCCAAATATGGATAATCCTAGCAACCTCATAGGACTGATATGATTATCTGTCTGTCTGTCTATCTATCTCAAGAAAAAGGGGTGTATTTTACTGTTGCAGCTGTAAGCCAAGATCATAAAAAGCACCAATCTGGTGTCAAAAATTTTAAATCTGTACTGGCATTATAAGCCTTTTTTGGGTACAAAAAACCCATACTCCTGAAGTACTTATTTCCTTTTTCTATCTTAAGTTCTCAAAAGTCGTTCTCAAGAAAAGAGATGATATTCACTAAACTAGTTTTCTTTGCAATAATTTTTTCAATTTTCTAAATTTAAAAAACAAATTTATTATGTTTAAAAGAAACTTCAGATATCATAGAATATATTTTGGGTAGTGAACCTTTTCCAGCACTCTAAAAGAATGCACCAAAGTCATATCAAACTTTCAATATGAACCTAGTTGAAGCCAATGATTAATATACATACATATCCCCTCCTTTTTAAAAAAAATTATGTTGGTTAAAAGTTCACTTATTACTTAAGTATAGACCTATAAATCAAAATAAGTATAGAAAATGTGTGTGGGGGGGTCTTTACCTAAAATGTGAAGTTTTATCCCCAACAGTTTAGAATATATGTCTAAACCTTCTGAGATACAAACAGAAATCATCTGAAAATAGTAGGTAAACTAGGTGAGATGAGAAGAAAGAATACTTGAGAAATGATACTTAAAATGTATCTATTTAGGATCAAAGCATTCCATACGTATAAAAATTTTAAAACTTGGATTAGATGTAAGAAACTATTAAAAAATAGCATAGAAAGTACATTTTCATGAATAAAATTAAAAAAATCATCCTATTGTATAAATATGTACAAGATAACATTAATACTTACAGTTAGAGGAACAGGGTCTTGAAAAGCCAGGCTCATTTCATGACAGTAAAGAAATAAAAGGAGGCGTTCACACTTCTAAGCAAAAATAAACAAAAATATAACTCAACAATAGTCACAGCTTATTTTCCTTAAGCATTTCATAGGTCACCAAGTACCAGATTAACAATTAAAACCTGATGAATACAGGAAAAACACTGAATACTGAAATCTTGCTTTCTTTCCCAATTAGTAACTGTAGTGTTTGATAATTTAGGATATACCTGATGTTTGAGATATTTTGTTCACTGTAATTAAGTGAACAAAAATAGTAGCACTAGAAACCCATTTGAAGTTCTTTACAATGAATTCCACTAATCCAGTCTGGGTACTGTGAATTAGCAATCAATAAAGGAAGACCACATGGCTATTAAGAGATCCAAAGGTGCAGCTTTTTCTTTTATGTGTCCATTCTTTTTTGTCGGGGGGTGGGGTGGGGTACTGGAGATTGAACTCAGGGGTACTTGACCACTGAGCCACATCCCCAGCCCTATTTAGTATTTTTTTTTTTTTTTAAGAGACAGGATCTGACTTGCTTAGCACCTCAGTTTTGCTGAGGCTGGCTTTGAACTCATGATCCTCCTGCCTCAGTCTCCAGAGTCGCTGGGATTATAGGCTTGCACCACTGTGCCCTGCTTGTGTGTCCATTCTTAAGGCCCCTTGACAGCAGATGGTCCCATTGCAGGCTCTGCCACTTCTCTGCTTATGAGTTTATCCTAGTAAACATTAGTGTTGTGAACACTTGTTGTGTAGTGCCAGCAACAGGTGTTTCTGCCCTCTCGTGCATGTCAATTTCCATACTGTTTTCTACTTCATAATTTAGCAAAGGACATTCTTAGCCTAACCTAGTAGCTTTAAATATTAATTATAAATATATAAGCTGGCTTTGATACAAATATAGAACCCACTTGGTGAAAGAATAGAATAATTTCTAGGAATAGAAAAGCCCATCTCAGTGCCAATTCTCAACAAATTCTGAGGAAGAAGACTTATCTATGGTAGAAATGAAACAAAAGATTTACTCAAAGTAGACTAGATTTAAAGGCCCAAGATCTATAAAAGAGAAGACATTTATCTTGTTCAGAGACACTATTGTAAGCTTCTATGTTGTGTATGTGTGTGTGTTAGTCTGCCTTTAAATATTTAAGATTCCTAATCCTTTTGTTAAAAAAAAATTCCTACAGGAAAAAAAGAAATCAGTTTAAAATTTAATGCACTAACAAAAAGTTGTCTATTACTCTAAGGTTGAGATGCTCAAAGACTTCTCAAAGACTTACCCTTTTATCTATTGGTGTTAATTTAACAAGGCCTTCGGTTTTCCTTTTTTCTGAGTTGTGACTGGGAGCATCACAATCATATTCAACTTCTGGCTTAGATAAGTCTCGGCAGAAAGTACAAATCCACTCTCCACTGTTGGGTAAAGGACTTTTGAGTTTCTATTGCATCATGTTTCCCTTTCCCACCTCATCTTACATGCCATCTATGACAGACTTGGCATAAATTTTAATCACTAAGATTTATCCCATACTTACTAGGTACAAAAGCACGATGTGGAAAGAGAAAACAGCAGAAATGTAATGCCATGGCCTAAGTCTAGCTAAAGTGTAGTTAAAGAGGCATGAAATTAATACATGCAAAAAAAAAATCTAAAGTAAATTTATAAAATTTAAAAAAGTAAATAAAAGTAAATAAAAATTTTAAAAAAATCTAAAGTAAATAAAAATAAAAATAGGGCTGATATGAGGTGTAATTAGCATTTTTACTCAGAGGATTCAGGATAAAAGAAAAACCCTCGGAAGAATGAAGGATTGGGCAAGGGCAGAAGGGACTTGGTGGTAGGAAAGATGGTGGAATGAGATGGACATCATTACTCTAGGTTCATGTATGATTGCACAAATGGTGTGACTCTACACTGTATAAAATTGTCCTCCATTTGTGTACAATGATTGAAATGCATTCTGCTGTCACGTATAACTAATTAGAAAAGAAAAACTCTTGGTATTATTGTTGCAACCGGCAGTTTAAGTTTTTACACAAAGGTTTTATGTTATAATAATCATTAAAAGTTGATTACTGTTATTATTTTATTATTTTGAAGTGCTAGGGATTGAACCTAGGACTTCAAGCATGCTAACCAAGCACTCTACCACTGAGCCCACCCCAGCCCTGTTGCTTTTATTTATAGTGAAAGAATGTGAAAAGGGAGTACTTTCTTACCTTGGAAAGTTTGTCAATGTGGGCACATGACAAGAAAGATGGAAGACTTTGGGACACTTCTCACAACACAGAAGTTCCCCTCCGTTTTGACAAACTGCACACCAGTCCTCATTGGGGTCATCCTCCTTCCTCGTCTCTCCAACATGAAGAGGAGACTTCTGGGAGGCATCTGACCACTCGGACTTTCCATTTGAGGAACTTTCCTGGTGGAGTCCAGGCTGATCTCCTGTGCTATCAGGGGCATCGGATCTTAACACAGTTTCCTCAGAAGCAGAGTTCTGACTGCTATTTAAGAGTAGGGAAGTAAGTATGCTTCTTGGATAGTTCGTCTGCAATGAGAGAATACAGAAAAAAAAATACACATATGCATGTATATACATATATATACACACACAAATGTATTTTATTTTGAAATTGACATTTTTGCATTATATGATTTTTTTTTACCACATATATGTATGTGTAAATATATATACACACACACATGAATGTTTTTTCAAAGTGGCTTTTTTGTATTAGCACTACTTCAGTTTTGGACTGTAGACTACTCTCATGGGCACCTGGTGAGTACCTGTGAGAATGGGACATGTTTACCACTAACTGTATTAGTCTCTAATGAGTGGATAATGGGCATAAGGGAAGTGGATAACATAGTCTGCTGATGGCTAAAGAAATTAGAGACTAGGTGAGTACTGTGAAAGAACCACATGAACTGTAAATATAATGTAACTTTTTGGAGCTGTTAATTCAAATTACACCTAAGACACAAAACTTATACCTCTAAGATGATTCTAAATTTTGTGTTGGATCCCAGGACAGTGCAGATTTCTGATCAATGTTCTCTCATTTAAATGTTTTTCTAAAATTTCAAAGTAATAAATGTATATATAGTCAACAGAACTCATTCCTTGGAGGCAACAATTTTCAAATTTATCTTTTCTTCTCCCCTCAATTTACAGTAGTTATTTCATTTTGTTGTTGGTTTTTGAGATAGGATCTTGTTATTTTGCCCAGGTTGGCCTTGAACTTCCATTTCTCCTGCCTCTGTCTAGGCACACACTACTGTACCCAGCTTATCACATTTCTAAATAAAATGCTTCTACGACAATTTCTTGCATTTCAATTTTCATTTTTTTTTTTTTTTGTAATACTGGGAACTGAACCCAGAGGAGCTTTACAACTGAGCTACAACACCAGCCCCTCCCCCTCAACATTTTGAGACAGGGTTTCACTAGATTATAGGGTGCCACTGTGACTCTTAACAGTTTTTACTAAGCATTGCTTCATTGCTTTTTCAGTTGGTAGAAGCCAGTATAAATGTTTATAGCTAGCATCTACTCCAAATGACCTATCATAATTGGCTAAATATTCTGAGATTCAGAATTTTTGCTAAATGTGTATTCAGATTATATTTTGATTATATCAGTTTTTAGGTACTACTATATTCAGGTGTTTGTTTCATCACTCTGATTAAGTAAATATTGTCCTGGGGAACAACAAAATGTACTATTGACTATATTCTCTTATACTTTTTGTTTTTACTAGGAGTTGGGTTATTACTTTTTTTTTTTTCATTTGCTATTTTTCTAGGCACCCATCTCTATGTCAATCTCTATAGGGTAGATGCTTTAATACACTGCAAGCATTTTTCTCCCTTTAGATACACCCCTGTGGAGTCTTCTGTCCTTTTGCTATAGACTGTTCTGCAGGAGCTACTATACTAAAGACTATGCTTTTTTTTTTTTTTCTTCCTTTTTACCCCCTAAGTATGAGTAGTATTACAAGCACTGATGTAATTACATTTTGAGGCCTAGATTCTTCATCTGATTCTTGTTTAACTATAACAACAGGGAAATCATAATTTTCGGGTGGTCCACTGTTTTCTTGTTTTATTCGGATTGGCTCCAACATGACCACTGGGACTTTGTGGGTAGAATCAGCTCCTGCTGGTTTGCTGGAAGAGCCAGAGCTATAAAGTATAAAAGGGGGAGAGAAAAAAAAATTAAAAAAAAAATACTAAAAAATATCACATCAAATACACTACAAAAATAACACTCCGGAAAAATGCTGTATCTTCACAACAAAAATTACTTTATATCAGTAGTAAATGATGCATAACTGAAATGTAATTGCTATATGAACACATTTCATTTATGATAAAAATGCTTTACATATTGACTTATCCAAATAGTTACATTTCATATATGGAAGGACAAATAGAATATTGCTTAAAACCAACTTCAAAATTCTGAGGGTCTATAAATGGGCAACCAGATTTGGTATCTTTGAAGTAGTATCATTTTGTGGGCTTTCTTAGTTCCCTTTCTAGTCAATGATAATGAGAACTTGAGGCTCTCATTAAGAATTTGTTGTCAAAGCATGAAGACAAGAAATCATTTGTTGGTGTTCTGCTACTTAAAGAAGTTAATTGAACAAAAACCTTGTACAGATAGCCACAATGTTCTCATGAATGTGTCTTTCATTTAAGAAAGTTAAAAACCGGGTTTACTAGGACCAATTTTTAAACATAAAGAGGGGAAGAGTATAAAATATATTAACAATTTATTTTCGATGGGTAAAATAGCAGAATTAATTTTTAATCACTAGAAAAGTCAGAGAACACTGAAATTAGTATGAAATTATTATTTCCTTTACATAAAATTTTATGTGGTGCTGTCATACCAATTTTCCTTGTTATTATGATAATATATATTTTCTTATTGTTAATATAAACATAAATGTGTACTTAATATAAAGGTGTACTTAAATATGAAACAAAGGTGTACTTAATCCTTTAATATTAAAATCATTAAAATTTTAATTAAAGATAAAGAAGCTGTTCAAAATACAGTGAGTACTAAAACATACTGACACTGGCAAAAGAAATCTGATTACAGATTTTATGTATAGTTGCCCTCCATATCCGTGGGTTCCACATCCATGGATTCAACCAACATGTGGATGGGAAATATTTTGAAGAAATAAACTGCATCTATAATGAATATGTATAGACTTTCTTTTTGGTCATAATTCCCTAAACAATACAGTATAACAACTATTTAAACAGCATTTACATTGTATTAGGTATTATAAATAATCTAACGATAATTTAAAGTACACAGGAGGATACATGTAGTTTATATGCAAATACTATGCCATTTTATATAAAAGACTTGAGTATCTGCAGATTTTAATATCCTTAAGAGGATCCTGGAAACAATTTATCATGGATACTGAGGGACAACTGCACTAGAGAATATGGTTAAGTCTATTTACCTTCCTCGGCTCCCAACGCTGGAGGCACTAGGTGAACGTATTGGGGGGTGGACGCTAGTCATAGTAACAGGTCCTAAGGAGGGGGAAATCATACACATTCATAAATGAATTGATAATTAAGTATTGAAGTCCTGTTTAACGTGCTCACTTGGCACCACAATGAAACTGGTAACATGCAACAAAATTCGATGAAACAATAAGCACTTGACAAAATCCAAGAGTAGTCTTTTATGTCTTATTAGAGCAAGATCTTTAACATCGGCACTATTGACTTTGGGCAAAAGAATTTTTTGTTGTCAAGGAATGATTTTGCTTTACAGGATGTTTTGCAGCATCTCTGGCCTATACAAGTTATGAATTGCTAGTAGCAACTCTTCACATGTTACAACTTGGAGTGTGACAAAAAAAAATTTCTCCAAAACAAGCATGGTAGCACATACCTATAATTCCAGCTACTCCAGAAGGCTGAGGCAAGAGGATTGCCAAGTTTAATGATAGAGTGTTTGCCTTGCTTGTTTGTATATGCAAAGCCAGGGGCACTTTAACACTGAGCTATGTCCCAGCCCTTTTTCAAATTTTCAAATTTTGAGACAGGGTCTCCCTAAGATGCTGAACTGGCCTCAAACTTGCAATCCTCTGCCTCAGACTCCCAAGCAGCAATTACAGGTGTGCTACTGCACCTGGCAAAGAATAAACATTTTTGTTTAATATGTTTTATTGGCCACATGTATTGCCTCTTTACAGAATTATCTATTCACATGTCCTTATTTATTTGTATAAACTTGTCGTGTGGTAAATAATTTCTCTGCTATAATTTATCTTAAGTTTATTAGTTTAAAATAGATATCTCCATTTAGATTCTGTAACTGTCTTATATTCATGTGACTGGTGAAAGAATAATAGATTCTTCGTTTCAGTTTAAAACACCCATTATGCCTAGGTCTCTAGGAGTAGTAATAGAGGGTTTTGCTCTCAGAAGAAATGAGTAGATTCATTAAATATTCTTTTTTTCTTTCTTTCTTTTTTTGGTACCAGAGATTGAACTCAGGGGCACTTGACCACTGAGCCACATCCCCAGCCCTGTTTTTTATTTTATTTAGAGTCAGGTTCTCACTGAGTTACTTAGCACCTTGCTTTTGCTGAGGCAGGCTTTGAACTCATGATCCTCCTGCCTTAGCCTTCTGAGCCACTGGCATTACAGGCGTGCATCACCATACCCGGCAACATTAAATATTCTTAAACACAAAAAACCCACCAAAAGACTGAGGCTGCTCTATGTGTCATCACTAGGAAATTTTAATGGGCAAATCACATCCTAAAGAAGATCACATCACATTCAACTTAATTTATTAATAAGTATAATATTTTCTCCAAGAAGTGCTATAATGCCTATAAATTTTATTGAAATTGAGAATATAAAGAAGTTTCACCTTTGCTTCCTTCATTGTAAGTATACTAATTTTAGATAGTACAAAAAAACACCACAGCTATATCTTAATCCTTCGTCAAAAAAGGGGTGAAGGGGGCTGGGGCTATAGCTCAGTGGCAGAGCACTTGCCTAGCATATGTGAGGCACTGGGTTCAATCCTTAGCACCATATGAAAATAAACAAATAAAATAAAGGTATCCTGTCCATCTATAACTATTTATATATATTAAAAAAGGGGGAGGAGGTGAAGGAATTTTAAATCCTTAAGAATAAAAACTAGAAAGATAATAATAAAATCAAAAGAAGTATATTTTACCTGCAAGGCCTGGAGATGGCACTGATGAATTTGGTGATTGCACAGTTCTGTTTGAGGGTGGTCTTGGCTGGCCATGATCTATGGTAGCTTCTTTCCTCACCATATTGTCTAGCATAATAGTACTTGAGCAATCAATCTTATAAGAAAAGAAATAATTTTTGGGCAAACTGCTCTTGTAAGATAAAAGCAAATTTTATAAGAAAACTTCAATAACAAATACTATCAAATAATAAGACACATAAATATAACATTTGAGAAGTTCTGATTGATAGTTCACCCATAAACAATCCCAAATAAAAATTTTCACGCTTCTTACTATTCTACCTTGGCAAATAACTGAGGATATACTATTGTCCTCAGTTATCCCAGGAGTTGATATGAGAAAAAAGTAATATCATGTGTGATTCACACTTTAAAAAATAGCACAATTTTATATTATTGCAAATCTCTTTTAATATCTGCTTTAAAAGTGACGAAACAGGTTCTTGTATCTGCTTCTGCATTCAATCAGTTGTGATTTGTGGTTTTGGTTGAAGAATATGAGAAAATCTGGTCTCATATAGGACTTTGAGGATATTCAGAGTTATAGCCCGTTTAAGTCTGTGGCCCTCCATTTAACAAGTGATATTCTGAGTATGTACCATAGAGATAAAATGTCTACATATCACATAGTTCTAGAGCACCAGGCTCACTAAGTACACTACTGTTTTTTAGGAACAACAAAACAAAACAAAAAGCATTCCCTTTAATGCAACAGATAATTAACACTGCTTTCCTAATCCTTTACCAGACTAAATACTGATAAATTTCTAATTAAGAGTTTAATGCTTTAGATGCAAATATTCTACCTGCCTAAACACACCAAATTTCCCAAGAATGTTTTTGTGATTTAAATCCAGTTCAATTCTCTAACAGTTTCAGCTTTTCTCAGAATTCTACAAGGGAATATAAGGGCATAGATTGTATAATTAATTAATTTGCTTCTGCACCTAGAACAGTGCAAATTGTGAAGCATCCTTGGTAGAATTAATAATCACTCCAACTCAAGTGAGGTACTTCAGTTGCCGAAGACTAGTACACAAAGGGCCACCTGTATGAGGAAGACAATTTTACTTCATGGGGTCTGCATTCCTTGGGGGAGAAAAGATGGGTACCTCAGGTCTTTCATATTTTAATATTCTTTTGGCAATACCTTGGCCAATACTTTTCAGATAGAGCAAGAAGACCAGAATGACTGAATTTGTTGTATCTTTAACAAAAGGAAAGTCATTTACATTGTGTAATAATCCTAAAAGCTAAAAAAAAACAGTGGGAATTAGAAAAGTGAAAATAAAAGAATCAACTTATATGATAGCGATCTATCTATAGAATATTGGAAATATTTTTAAAAAATGTATACTGATCAAAGTTAAGAGCTTAGAGTGTGAATATATTATTTAAATATAAGGCAAGTCAGAGGAAATTTTGCACTGTTCAGCAGAAAATATTTTGATTTCTATTACTAAACTTGTCTTGTCTCATCTGATATCTTAATATATAACATCCATCTCTAGCTACCCTTGTTTTAATATATCATATCCCAGACATTCAACTTGCCAGTCTTTCTTCTTATATCTTTACTTTTCTCCTTTCCCAGCTTTGATTCCATTATCATTGTTATCAATCATTTACAAACACCTTTGACTGCAGTGCCCTGAAAGGCATTCTGTTGTATAAATGTTCACAACTTTTATTAACTGCTGTTATAATATTTTTAAGAAATAAACTAACTTCTAAAAACAAAACAACCTATAATCCAAACATATGCCAGTTACTGAATCCAAATTAACTGGCAATTTCCAAAAGAGGATGTTGATATAAATTTTCTGTGTATACTTACATCTGGAAGAGAAGGAAGATTGTAAGAACCTCCCACTGGTGAGCTCAAATCGATCATGGGTGAACCAAAAGTCTTTCCATCGTATCCTGCTGCACTAGTGATGGTAGGGCTGGAGGGAGTGGAGGACGAGCTGCTGGCAGTTGATGGGGTGGCCTGTCCACTGCTGATCTGCCACTACAGAAGAGAAGAAAACGGACTATTGATAGATAGGCCTACAACATGACATGTACTGATCACTCTAACACAAAATGAAATAAAAGACACATTCTGGTGTTTGAACTCACATGTAATGTTCTTTTTCCCCCACATTTTTATTGGTGCACTGTAGTTGTACATATTTATGGGATTTGTTGTTACACATTCATACATGCATACCTATTGAGAGCCACAGCCGAAGGGACCCTAGCAAACTACCAGCTGCCAGCTGATGATTAGCTCACAGTGGCCCCAGCAGAAGGGGCCCCAGCAAACTTCCAGCTGCCAGCAAACTTCCAGCTGCCAGCTGATGATTGGCTCACAGCGGCCCCAGCAAACTTCTAGCTGCCAACTGATTGGCTCCTCTGCTTTTTGGGTTGTTTCCCCACCCTTTCAGACCATGGAGCTGCTCATTGGGGGACTTTTTTTGGCTCTGCCCATGCGACCCAGCCAATCGGCCTCAAGAGCAGGAGTGGTGGGGGAGGTGGAGAGGCCTGTGGGAAGCTGGTGGTGGCAGTTGGGCTCTGAGGGTTTTCCTGAAGAGCTGTGTGGTGCGGTGTGTGTGTTCTAAAAATAAAGTTCGTTTCTTCTGACAAGTGGCTTCTGAATTGTGCCCAGCCGGAATGCCGCACATACCAATAAACAATATTATAATTTGGCTAGTATCACTCCCCAGCACTTCCACTCCCAGCCCCCGACATCTTGGTCCCTTTTCTCTGCTGATCTCCCTTTGATCTGCCCGCTTTTTCTTTTCTTTTTCCTCTCTAGTCATCACATGAGAGAAAACACAGGACCCTTAAGTTTCTGATTTTGACTTATTTCACTTAACATGGTCTCTAGTTCTATCCATTTTCCGCAAATGGATATTTTATTTATGGCTGAATAAAACTCCAGTGTATATTTCTTTATCCATCATCTGTTGATGGACACCTAGGCTGGCCCCATAGCTTGGTTACTGGGAAATGTGCTGCTAGAAACATGGGTTTAATTTTTCAGGGTGAATACTGACAAGTGGTATAGCTGGGTCATATGATGGTTCCATGCCTAGCTGCCGCAGTCTGGCTGGGCACAAATCACTGAGCCACCACAAAAGCATTTGTATGTTCAAACAGAAAACTTTATTGCCTGAACTCCACCAGCACTCCAGGCACACTCCCCTGGAACTCCCCCAGCTCTCCACCAGACTCCACCCCAACTCTCTCAGAACCTGCGAGAACTCGGAACTCCAAAGTAGTGGGCGCCTGAGGCAGCAAGAGCCGCCCTATTGACTGACAGCAAAGGTCTAATATACAACTGAATACATTTTAACTAACCATCATCATCTCAATGGCATCACCTTTCAAACATTCCCTCTGGCAAAATGTAATACCAAGAACTCTTTGATTGTACAGGGCATTTACTGCTACAGCAGTGGTTTGATTTCTTTTGTTGATTACAAACAACAAGACCCTTTCTCTTAAGCTTGTCTCCATAGGTTTGTCTGTAATAAATTTTATAATTAACATTCATTAAAAAAAATAAAGCAAGCTTGCTCTTACTCTTCAGAGGCTGTTGCTTAATTTATAAACTCAATGTAATTTGAAAATAAAATGAAGCAGAATCAGCAACTGAGGAGAGCAAGTACACATACCTGTTTTATGGCTTGTTGAGCCAAGAAAGCCATCTGCAGGGGGTTGGGCTTTACTGCTGGTCGTGGGATATTCTGGGTTGGTGGATATCTCAGCTGTTGAGGATGAGGGGGAAGAACTGGTCCATTAGGTTTAGGGCTGTGATTCTGAAAGTTTATCAAACGTGGAGGGGGTTGCTAGAAAAAATAAATAAGACCACTTCAGTAACAGCTATCTCCATAAAGACAAGTTAGATCTCTATTTCAACAAAACTTTTGAAGAAAGACAAAAACTCTTCCATAGATGAATCCACTCATTTGGATTACAAAAAGGAAATGGGGAGGGGGGATGACACGTAGAATTTCAGAATTTGTGTAACTGATTTCTGAAAAGAGTTTCATTAGAAAAGAATCTTGGAAGAGAGTTGCCAACTAATTTGTAAGTGGCTATAGTAATGGACCTTGGTCATGTTGTGAAGTAGGCAAAGGTATTTTGGGTATCCTTCCTTCTTCAAACCAAGTGATGGTAGAATAATAATTGCTAACAGTTATTGAATGTTTGTTATGTGCCAGGAATTGCTTTAAATGCTTCACATTATATTAACTCATTTTTCTTAACAATTCTATGAGAAAGGCATAATCTCTATTTTATATAAGAAAACTAAGGCATAAAGAATTTAAGTAACTTGTGTTTGACAAGTAGTCTGACTTGAAGGTGTGTACTCTTAACCAACAAATCATTAAGAAAATAGTTGATATTAATAACATTTAAAAATTAATGAATTCTAGATCTCTAGCTACATGGCAGGCATTTTACTTATGTCATTGAGGTATATGAGGTAGGTATTTTTATCTTTATTTTTCAAATCAGAAAAGTATAGATCAGAAAGCTTAGGTAACTTAAAAAAAGACACACAGCTAGTAAAAGGCAGTACCCAAAGCTTTACCTTAAATCTAGTCTGCTATATCATTACCAAAACATGTTTTAGTGTTCTGTTGGCTGTTGATTAAGATTGACTAATTATAGTTAAGAGAGGATGAGACTACCTAAAAAAAAAAAAAAAAAAAAATTTGAAAAGTAACCCTCCAAAGGAAAGACTGATTACAGGAAGGCTAGGTGAGGATATCTGAGATTAGGCAAGAGTTATGAAGGCAAGTCTACACTGTCTCCTCCATAAATTTTAGTTCTGGAGAATAAGACTAGAATTTTGGAAAAAGAGGACATTCTATGGAGTATCCTCTTGGCCATCCAATTCTCCCTATAGTTGGCAACTTACTGAAAAAGAAATACTTCTTTTCAAGATAGCTTAAACAACTGTGATCAGAATTGCTCTGAGAAGTGACTATATCTTTATACACTCACAGGGAGACAAATCAATGCAGGATCTAGAAGGTTGAAGTGGCAGCACCTCAAATTGACACTGTGAAGGCACACACAGCTATAAAGTATATCCCTGCCCTCTTTTTTCTTCCTTTTCCTCACGTTTTTGGACTTTACTCTTCAGCCTGGATTAATTCCTTCCCTCTTATATCTCTAAAATATTTGGTGTTAGGTTCACTTTCATTCAATAGTGGCCAGTAATTATAGACCCAGTGAAAAATAGATTTAATTTCTGGATCAAGTGAAACTCTATAGGCAAAGAATAGAAAAACAATATTAGAGAAAAATATACAACCTTGAAACTTAACAGAATCATAAGCCTGAGGCTACAGCCATTCTTTGTGGTTTTTCTATAAAAGTTTTATGAAGTGTTTTATATCACTGAAGCACAAAAAAGAAAATAGTTGATAAATCATAGTGGAAACATTGGAAAAATTTTAAACTTACCAAAAGAATAATTTTTTTTTAAACAAGTGAGAAAACAACAAAACAGTCCTTAAGGGAGAATAAAGATAGTGCTATGCGTTTTCTAGCATCCTAGTCTCACTCTCTCCCAGATTGATATTTATGTAACGATTCAACTAAATAATGACAATTGATGCCAGAGTAGCATGCTATGGCCTGTAAGCAATCTGTAGAACTGGATGTCGACCCTGCCATCCTTGAGCTTACAGGAGTATAAGGAGGTGATGTTTTCACCTTCTCCTAAACTGCTAAAGTGATAGAGCTAATTTATAAGAATCCTGTGACGGGGGAAGTGTCTTGAAAGAATATTAGAAACCAGTTACAATCTTAAAAGAAATAGAAAGACTAGTAATATTTTGGTTAAGTGAAATATTAATTTTCAAGACACAGAGAAAAATAATTGACGATAATAATTGAGAATAGAGAAATAACTGAAAGTTAAACAGACAGAACCTTAATCACAGCGAGAATTACTACTATGATTTATGTATAAAATGATGTGACAGTGTTCTGTAACAAGTAGATCTGATCACTAAAGTTTAATGGAGTATTCTATACAGTGCCAAATAAACACAGTTTATTAAATTTGCACTACTTAATCATATAATTGTTCTATCTCTGCTATTACTCAACTCTTGAACCATGCAGACGACATGGTTAATCTTCAGAGAAAGAATTAGGAAACTACTACGTAAGTGATTTCAGAAGCAGTCCTTTACCTGAATATGGGCAGATATATATAATTTGCATACTCCTAACAGAGGAAGAGGCACGTGGGCAAATAAACTAGTTTATGTAAATAAACTAGTTTATGTAAATAAACTAGTATAAAACTGAAAATAAAGTGGGTAGAACAGAGTACAAGTTTATAGAAGAGGGTAAACCAATGAGTGAAAAATGTAGGGGTTTTTGGCAAACAGCAGATAAAGAGATTAGAGTGTGAAAAAGGTCTAGGAGGCACAGAGAGTAGATGAAAACAAAATGACAGGGTATAAGGACCACAAACATGAAAAGTATTTCTAAGTGGGAAAATTAGATTATATAATAGAGACTGTACATTATACATAGTACTAAATCCTAGAGACTGAAAATAAGATCCAAAGCAAATTTCTGAGGAAAGCAAGCTAACAGCTCAAAGGTCAATTCAGTTTTGTCACTGCTTATATAAATTTATAAACTCTTTTCACATAGACTCTATTAACTGCCTCATTACTTACTTTTTAGTGAAAGGCAACTAAATGAATTGATGGATCCAACTCTTTTTGTTAATAAGCAATTAAATAAATTCTACCATCTCTCAGACATTTCAATATTAATATAAGCAAATGCTTAGCACAGGCACAACAGATTTAATTCTCTTTCTTTGTACATTTAACTTCAGAAAAATTTTAGTATTCTTTCTAGTCTATTTATGTCATTCTGCTTTCAATTTTCTTAATAAAAATTCAACTCTGCCATGGATGCTCGAGGTATCTAAAACATACAATTCTCTTCCCCCTTGAAGCACTTCACCAAAGATCTTTCAAATTGTTTGCTACTTTCTTTCTGTAAAAACTGGTTAAAACAAAGTTTTAAGTAGGCATATTATTATTTTCCTAGATTTCATATGCCTTCTTAATCAAATTAATACAAAACCATAAACTTCAAATATATTATCTTACGTCATTACAGAAATGACAACAAAATCCGGGTCTAACTGGGGATATAGTAGGGGATAGTGGTGAATCTCAGTGGTATAGTATGTGCTTAGCATGTGCAAGGCCCTGGGTTCCATTCCTGTATACCTATTTCACAAGAATAGGCTCCACATATGCCCACAACCTCTACTGAGGGTTGAAGAGTCCTACAAAAAAACATTCCTATGTTGGGTAAAATTGTTACAAGAAAATTATGCTTAATTTAGTTGCTTTTTTCATAGACAACCACTTCACATATTCTACTAGTAAAATACTAGTAAAACCTTCTCACCCCTATTTAATTGGCATGTTTCCTTTTATTTGATAATGATATCTTATTATTCCTGTTTTCTTTCACTGTTAAGAAATTCTGAGTTAAATGTTATTCCTAAGTATAATAAGAATTCCTAGCCAAGGTTTTTATACTTTGACTCTTATTAAATTCCATTCTATTTCATTTGTGTCATGTACCAAAATCACTTCAAATCCTTTGTGGAAACAGAAACAACATAAATTCATTTTAAAAAGTAACTGAACACAAGAGTTTATATGAAATAGACTTTAAATCCTATTAAATCTTTATTAATCTAACCTGAACAGGATTGTTTATTTAACAAAAGTATATCAACCTTTTATCCTCAAAACATGGATTGAAAATTAACAGAATACTTCAATATCTAGTTAAAAATGGTCAATGGAATATTTGTTCAGATAGAAGTTTGAAAAAGGTTAAAATTTTAATGAACCACACTCCTGCATTTTTCCATTTTGTATTTCATTTTGCCCTATTTTCTAAGATACAATATGGTTTGCTAAATACTGGCACCCCCAAAGATAACAGATTTTTAAAAAATATTTATTTTTTAGTTGTAGTTGGACACAATACCTTTATTTTACTTATGTATTTTTATGTGGTGCTGAGCATCAAACCCAGGACCTCGCCTGTGCTAGGCAAGTGCTCTACTGCTGAGCCACATCCCCAGCCCAAGAACAGATTCTTAAAAGTACTCATCTTTCTGAAGCATTAATAAAGGAATTACAGTTTCTCAGGTTTTCCCATCAATCATAGGCATGGGTTATTTAGGAATACAAACACTTAATCCTGCTATAATTTAAAGACAAGAAACAATAGATGAAAATAAATGTGCCAATTAAATAAATCATTAAATCTTTTTTGAGTAGAACTAAAGATTAAGTGTTAAATCAGGGATCCTTAATGTGGTAAAATTTTATAAATCCACATATTTAAATTAAGGATGATGGATATCTTGGCTATATGAAGAGCTTCTGAACACAATCATACTACAGTTATCTAAGTTAGGACAGGCCTGCTTCCAAATTTACCTGATGAGAGATGGAAGGTTGCTGGATGGGCCCCTGCATTCTAGGGTTTGGTAAACCCACAGGTGCTGGCCTCCGTTGCACCTGTTGCCTCTGAGCCATTACCTGTTGCTGCATATGCTGGAGTCGTAATTGAGCTAGGCTGATCTGTGTTGGAAACTTGGATAACTGGTTTGAAGATAAACCACCTGGTGGCTGTGAATTCTGTTCCACGACAGGATTCTGCTTAGGCATTTGTGGTTGACTCTCTTTATCTTCGATTACTAAAGAACCTAATTAAGAGAAAAGAGCAAGGGATAAAGTTTTTTGATAATTGGTGAGATACAACATTTTGAATGGCTACTTTTGATGAACTTTAATTGCTAAGAAGTTTTTTGGTCTCTGGACTCTTCATACTCTTAAAAAAAATAGAGGACCCGAAAGAACTTTTGTTTATGTAGGCTCTATTATCAAAATTTACTATGTAAGAAACGTAAAATGAAAATGTTAAAAAAATCCACTAATCCATTTAAAAATAATAATAAACCAATAACAACGTATTTTTATGAAAAAAACTGCTTACAAAGGTTTTTAATGAAGTATGCATTGTTTTACACTTTTGAAGATCTAAGCATCTAGCTTAATAGGTGAACTTCATATCTGTTTTTGCATTATCTGTCATAATATATTGACTAAATTAAATATATGAAGAAGTTTGTTCTCACACAGACATATAGTTGGAAAAGGGAGGCCATTTTTAGAACCATTATAAATCAAAACAAGCAAATCTGACATTGGCTCTAAAAACCAATCCCACAAAGTATTTGATTCTTTAGTATTAACTATTTGTAATCTCAAGTTTCTTATACCTTTACAATATATACTACATTAACTCCATAATAGAAAACTGGTTTGCAACTATAGTTTTAAAGGTGTCTCATAGATTTGATTCAAACTTTATTTCTTTAACAGTAGATATTCAAATGTTTCTAATTCATGAAGCACCCACATCTAAAAACAAATTGTAGCTAAACTGGGCACAGTGGCACATGCCTATAATCCCAACTACTTGGGAGGCTGAGTCAGGGCTAGTTTGAGGTCAGCCTTGGCAACTTAATGAGACTGTCAAAAAATAAAAAGGATAGGGAATGTAGCTCAGTGGTAGAGTTCATGTTCCCTCCTCAGTGCCACCAAAAAAGATGAATAAACAAACAAAATGAAATTTAAAAAGTCTAGCTATCATTTATTAAATACTTACTGTGTGTTTGGCACTGTGACAAGTAGTCACATATAGGTAAAAAAAAAAAAACACCTCACATATATGTAAAAAAAAAACTCATCCAATATTCATCTAATCAATATTTTCCTCTGGCACTCATTCATAAAATGTTTCTCAGAAGCCATGGATAAATAAGTTTGGAAAACTTCTTTTCTTGTGCTAAATAAACTGACCAAGCTGTAAATGATAGCTCTGATAATTTCTACAGTAAAGGATACTTTATTATATCAGAGTTTCACAAACTAACAAAGATATCATGGTTTTGTTTTTGCTATGTAGATTTATCTAAAACTATATCCTTTTATATGCATGGTTTTAAACCTAATTCCTAAATGTAGCTATTTCTACATGTGAGTGTTTTACATGTTATGTTTTAAGTGCAGAGATGTCTATACATGTCTATACATGTGATGACTTCTAACTTTTGATAGGTTCTCAGTACAGAGGCACGTATTGTGGTAGTGCAGGCTGTGGTGAGGAAGACAGCTACTCACATACATGCTCTATATTTCTAAAGCTGCTTCTTTCTAGTAAGGCAGTGAAAAGGGTGGATGATTCCAGTTGCCTACTATGTTATTAATACGTATAAGGCCACAGATACTGCTAAGAGTGGCCTGCAGGAGTCTCTTTATCACCTCTTCTTCAAGGATTCTTTTTCTTCCCTTGTAAGGATAAGATTTGTGTAAGCCTGTTTCTTCCTTGCGTACCATGTTCTGACAGCACTGGCTCTTTCTCCATTTTTTTTCTCCTTTCCTACAAAGAATTTAGCTTTGGGGATGAGAGAGTATCCATCTTTGATGATTCTGAAACAAAGTCAAGGAACTAAAAAAGCATCACTGAAGGGAATACTGGCTGTTGATGAATAATGTATAGGGAATTCTAACATTTTTGTTTGTGTAGTATCCCGGTGAGAAATTAAGAAAGGAGGCAAAAAGACTATTTCTACTCAGCAAATAGCATAACAAGAAAGCTAAAGTAATAATTTCCTGCTGAAATATTAGCACAGATACTCCAGCTCCTGATGTTACTAAGTGATAGTCTATTTCTTTATGATAATTGGTGAGCTCAAATACTTAAGATTTGGGTACTTTTCTGAATTTATGTTACACTTTAATAGACATATGAACATGTAAAATTATAACTGACAGTGAAAATTGTGGGGAAAAAGTCTTCCCTAAAGAGATAAAGCAACTGAACCATTAGGCATCTGATGGAAAGTAAGGAATAATAAACCATTAGGCATCTAAAGGAAAGTAAGCCAATAATAGCATGAGAAATGCTATTTTACTATAAAATATTATAGACATGAAAAATATTAGGCAGGTGCTGTGGCACACACCTATAATCCCAGTTACTTGGAAGGCTGTCTCAGAAAAAGAGGAAAAAAAAAATCGTGGAGGCACTGGTGCTGTAGCTCAGTGGCAGAACACCTGCCTGACATGTGCAGGTCTCTAGGTTTCTCCCCAGAATGGGGGGAAAATCCTGTATAAATGATGGTCAAGAGGTAACACATTTTGATAAATATAGAACATGCAAACAGGATTCTAGGGTAATAAAAGCATCCTGAATCCCTATACCTAGATACCCCATAAGTCAACAAAAGAATATTTTCCTATAACCCAAATATGTACATATGTGCTTATATTCACACGTTATCATATATTCAAATTATTGATATGTCTTTAAAATAAGATAACAGCAAACTGAGTGGAAGGGAATCTTCAATAACATCACTGAGAATTCCACAACTGACACCTTGACAAAATGTAAATAATGGCCTACCTAAGTTGATAATATTTTGGGCCCAGAAGCTAGGATCACAGTGAAACTGGATAATGTTGTTGGTCACTGGGGAAGCATCACACCTTGCACGAAGGAGGTGCCGTAACCGGTATGTAATCTGAAAGAAAGCAGAGAGAAAACTGAACAATATACCTTTATCAGGTAAATAATACATTACCTTTGCCCAATGAATACCTAAAAACCATCACTGGTATATATGCAACCGATAATAACCAATCATATATAGATCAGAAAAGTGGTCATACAAAATAATTTTCTTTTCAAAACATTAAATTTTTGAGGTGTAACTCAGCTTAACTGTTTCACACTGACCTAAAAAGTATTTTAAGGTGATAGGTTAAAGTGAGTTTTTTAAATTAGTAATGAAAGTTCACAGAAATGTCAAATCAAATATTGTAAAAAAATTAGCATATCTTATTCTTTTATTTACTTTAATTTTTAAGGGCAATACTCAATTTAGACTTAGGGATATAATAAGATATAGAAGATGCAAATTAGTCTGCTTAGGAAATGGAATGAGGTCTGCTAGTAGGATGGTTTTCCTTGCTTCTCATGGTGGCTCAGTTCCTACCACCTCCTGCAAAGGGATTCAAAATCTCTGAAGTGAATCCCATAACATCCATTTCTTTTCACAATCTCAATCTTCATTTTCACTTGGTCCTTAAAGATTTTAGTTCCTGGAATTCTATCATTGTCAGTTCCAATGTAACTCTTGTCATAATTCTGGATGATTTTAATATTCAACCAGATGATCCTTCTTTCCAGCACAGATACAAATAATCCTACAAATCCACCAACTCCTATGAACCTTTGCTCTCACAACTTTTCCAGTCTTTCCATCTCACCTCACTATCCCTCAATATCCAGCTTAATTCCCATGGTCAATCGTCACAAACATTTTCTTGCACAGATCCTCAACTTTTCTCTCCACTTACCCAATTTTAAATAAATCATTAAATCTTTTATGAGTAGAACTAAAGTGTTAAATCAGGGATCCTTAATGTGGTAAAATTTTATAAATCCACATATTTAAATTAAGGATGATGGATATCTTGGCTATATGAAGAGCTTCTGAACACAATCATACTACATGAACTTTCCCCCTGAACGAAACATACTACATTGATTAAATCTTACTGTATCAATATTAATTTAATTCCTGAAATTGAGCTAATAACACATGACATTTCTCTGGTTCATTCATTTCCCTACTCTCATAAATGACTATTTATGAGACTATTCCTTCTATTTTTCTTTTCAAATCTCCATAATTTTCTCCCCTATTCTCAATCTCAACTGATGGACGTGCTTACCATTTCACTGAGAAAATAGGAACAATTAGGGACCTTGTTCAAATTTCCATCATGTATCAGTTATGTATTACAATGGATGAACTGTCCATGCTGGATAAAATCAAGCCAGCCCCATCTTTCCTACTCAGCAATTTTCATGAACCATACCCATCAAGATATAAACATGCTTTAACTTTTTCCAGTTAAAACCAAAATCTTGACTCCTTTTTTCCTACATTTTTTTCCTCTCGTCTACAACAAAACTCAAAACTCATTTATATACATGGTTTCTCCCCTTATTCTTTTCTGATACCATTATTTTCAGACTTGGAGGAGCTTTCACCTTAGGTGGTAATATTGTTCTCCTGGAAACACTTTCTTTACATGGCTTCCTGCATCCTGTAATTTCATAGTTTCCCCCTTATTTTGCTAGCAGTTACTTTTTTAATTGCAGTTGCAGCACTGGCACTAGGGATTAAGCCCAGGCCCTTATAAATGCTAGACAAACACTCCACCATTGACTTATATCCTTATCCCTTTGTAAAAATTTTGAGACAGAGTATCACTAAACTACCTGGACTGCCCTCAAACTTGTGATCCTCCTGCTTCAGCCTCCTGAGTAGCTGGAATTACAAGAATGTGCTACCATGCCCAATTCAGCTGCTACTTCTGGAAGCCACTGAAAATACAATAGGTTCCAATATCAACCTATTTTTGAAGTGGCCAGTAAGGTGCAGTAAGGTGGCAGCTTAACATTCTTTTTTTTTTTTTTTTTTGGCCTTGCACAACCTTTCTCTGCAGTATGGGTGTTTTATTTTCTCCCACAACTCCATTTGCTGGAATGCCCCAGGGCTCAGTCTTCTGACTTCTCAATCTTATTCTAGACCCATATGCTTTTGGTGATTTCAAGCCAATCTCAGTTTAAATGACTCCTCATTTTAGATCTGCAGCCTGGATCTCTCTTTTGAACTTGCCTTTCTAATGACTAATTTAGCCTCTCCACCTGGTTGTTGAAAAGGAATCATAAATGTGCCAAGTTCCAAAGGGAACTCTTAATTTTTCTCTTAAGGTCTACTCTTCATATAATCTTCCTTATGTCAATCTTCCTGCACCTTAAGGTAAAAGGTCTTGGTTCCACTGTTTGTCTCACACCCTATATATTTAATCTGTCAGTAAATCCTGATGGCTCTTTTAAGATAGATGAATAATCTGACCACTTCTGCTATCAGCTATGCTAGCTCATGTTCCCAAATTGTGAACTTATCACAAGGTTCTAATTGGTCTCCCTAATTTTTCCTGGTCCTCAACATCTACATTGTGTTCTCAACATAACAGATGGGGTCATGCCATTTTCTCAAGCCCCTCCAATGATTTTTCACTCTGCTCCAGTCCATCAAGCTACTTGTTGTCCACATAATAAAAACTCTCCCCTCAGTCTCTGCATTTGCTATGGACTCTGCCAGAAATATTCTCCTCGAATATCTGCATGGCTTGCTTTCTCATTTCCTTCAAGTATTTTCTCATAATCACCCTCTTTAGATATTTAGATAATTTCCCCAATGTACACCATTGCTCCCAGACCACAACTTATTAGTATAAAACAGTCTATACATTTTAGTATTGTCTATCTCTACCAAAATGCCACTCCTTGAGGGCAAAGATTTTGTTTTGTTTACTCTGTTCCTCATCACTCAGAATGATACTTGGCATATGAAAGGTATTCCTTATAATTGCTAAATAAGTAAATTTGCTTCAATTATTACATTATCTCAAAAAAGTATAATAAATTTTGACAAAAAAATATTGAAATTTTAGGACTAAGAACAGTGTTAAGTAAATAGCCCTCAATAAAGCAAAGTGCCTTTGTAAGAGTAAAAGAAATTGAAGTTAAAGTGTAAAAGACCGGGCATTGTAAAGTTTCTAAGCTGCAAGGCCTGAGTTAAAAAGTAAAGGACCAGGTATTGTTAAGTTCCTCTGCTACCCCCAAAACCTGAAATTCCTGTAGCTGTTAGGACAATACCCGAACTGCCCAGTAAATATTCCTCCTGATCCTCTGGTTGTTTAATAACCTAGGACCCTGTGTAGCCTGGCATGTAGGCATCCAGGGCCCAAAACCAATTAGTTTGAATGTGTACCCCGCTTAGGAGTGACCAATCACCTCCGCCCAACCTGTTCCCGCCAATGAATGTACTAATCATGTCTAAGAGTTGCTGTTCAATTTTCCCACGCCTCATGCTGATTTGTTCTGATGTATGCAAAGCCCCCGCCCTCCCCCAAAAGTGTACTTAAGCACTGCTCAACCCTGCCCAGGGCTCTGGGCTGCTCTCTCCTCTTGAGTGGGCACGGAGCCCCAGCATGCTGGATCAATAAATCCCCTTCTGCCAATTGCATGAGTGGTCTCTTGGTGGTCTCTTCCTCCGACGCTTCACCAGTCCCTTACATCTTTTCCCAAGTTTTTCTCCCTTTCTTACATTTTGATATCCTCCAGTAATTCTGACCATAAATCACTCTTATAATGTTAAACAACAGAACTGTTCTAAGAATTTCTTTGCAAATACATTTGTATTGTTTTCTAAAATTACTAATTTATTGTATTATTTAAAAGTTTTATTTTACTTGACAAATAGAAATTTTATTTACTTGTCATGTAAAACATATTTTGAAATATGTATACATTATGAATTAGCCAAATTGAGCTACATTATCTCACATTTTTGTGGTGAGAACACTAAATAACTTTTATTAACTATAGTCATCATTTTATACAATAAATTTATGGTGCTGTGCTGAGGGCCATTACCAAGTAGGAATGACGCATTGAAATTTCCTTGCCAAGCGTACCCCATGCTGCTTAGAGGACATTCGATGGGACATTGCATGCATGCTTTCATAAGGTGACCTTGCTCAAGGACCAAGGCGGATCCGAGTTTAGAGCTGATCAGGTTTGAGGAAGTAACCGGCTCCTTGAGTTTAAGGCGTTGCCAGTTTAAGATAATGGGTTTTAGGGAAGTTGGAGATTGAAGATTATTGCTGGGATTAGGGTGTTCCTATTGCTTGTTCCTGTTGAGTTCTGAGATTAAAATGGGATTTGGAGATAGCCTCGTGGAGTAGGTGAATTGTGCGTGGAGATGGCAGAACGCGTTTGCCCCTGGACCTGTGTGGAGGCGGTGTGAGAGCTGGAATAAAGAATTGCTGTTTGAACCTACAAAGCTGTGAGTGCCTCGTGATTCTGGTGCCAAGCCGAGACATTGGCCTTTGGCAATTTTTCTTGAATTCATTCATTTAAAATTTTGTATCCTTTGACCAATGTCTTTTCAAAAGCCTCTCAATAATCACTGTTCTACTCTTCTGTAAATTCAGTTTTTTTTTCCACCACAAATAATCTGAGATCTTGTGATGTCTTCCTGTGCCCAGCTTATTTCTCTTAGCATAATACCCTCCATATATGTTGTTACAACTGACAGGATTCTATTATTTGAAAGTCCCCATGGAAATTCATGTTGAAATTTAATTCCCATTGTGAGATAATAAAAGATGGAGCTTTAAGGGATGATTAAGTCTGTTAAAAAAAAAAAAGCTAAAACTGAAGAACCCCTATTAATACTATTAATACTTATTTCTTAATCATTTCCTAATCCCTGGAACTATAGAAATATTTACTACTGTTAAAAATAATGATTGGGCTTTATTTCCCTGGTGTCAATATATTTTTTTTGTCTTCCCCTCAATTCTATAAAATAAATTCAATGTTTAATGAATGACAGAAGAGTCCTAAGGAAATATGGTAAGGCTCAAATATTTCAAA